TTTTGTACTATAGCTCATAATCAAGAATAAAGTATCTGCTTTTGTAGCCCATCGTCCCAGGAGTCCTAATGGCATAGAGGTTATGTGTTGGCCTGAGATCTGCAAGATCAGCAGTTTGAAACCACTAGCGTGTCTTCAGAAGAAGGCTGGCTACGCCTGTATACAGTTGCAGTGTCTGAAACTCAGAGGCAGAGTTCTACCCTGTCCTGTAGGGTCACTGTGTGTCAACATGGACTCGATAGCAGTGGTTTGGGTTTCCCATCATCCCAGTGCCCCAGTATCACCCATCTTGGCAAACAATGATTTGGAATCAACTCTGTGGCAGTGAATTTGGTTTGGTAGCATATATGCCTAGAAAATAGTATTACCTTTTGCTTTATAGACGAAGAAGCAAGAACTCTGGTTTGACAAAGATCGCCTACTAGTAGATGGCATATTCAATGCCTACAAACGTAGTATTGCACATTCTGAAATAATTAAGTATATGGATTTATGAAGTCTGAATTCATGAAACTTTCTGTGTTATAGGTTGATCTGAGTAGGAGTCAACTGGATGGGTTTGGGTTTGGTTATGGTAGAAAAGCAAAGCTTTGTTTTTAAACTTATATACTATTTTTCTCCCTCTTCACTGTTGAAGTACTTTATGTTTCAGTGTTTTAGTCACCACATAATTTACATTTTGATATTTTCAATAAATCCCAAATGAAAAATTATATTTATAGCTGCTTAACCCACATAATCTAGGTGATAGTATATCTTCCAAGTTAAGATAATGTTTTAATTTGTTTTATTTGTATCATATAATAATATTAATTTCATTTACTCAGCACCTGCCTGACAATTAAAAACAGAGCAGCTCTTTTGATAGTTTTGTCTGGGTAATTGTTGAGAAGGTTGTCCTTGTGCTGTATGATGTTTAGCAACATTTTGGCCTCTGTCCACTAGCTTCCTCTTGACTGTGACTGGAGCACAAGTATCCCTGGTTGAGGACCACTATTCAGGAATTTACATGTCAGGTGTGGGAATAGGTAATGAAGATAGAAAAATCCCATCAGTCCATGATAGAGTAAGGGTAGATAGCATAAACAGATCATTAGAAATCTATACGATAAATGTTTTACTTAGCTATACTACCAAGAATGGTGCTCAAGAAACCTCAAAGGCCTGCGCATGTCAGTTGTCCCAGAATGTCTCAGGAACCTTTGGAACATATAACTGTGATATAATGTATATTGGTAGAATTGGTACCCATATCGGGAAAGGCTTCATTTTAGATAGCTATTAGGGCTAAACTCATCACTAGTCTTGCAGTGTGTTTTACTGTTTGTTTCCCTCAGAGCTAATGCTTAGTCAAGGTGCAGCCCATGTGTGCAGAGGTGGTCCGCTCCTAAGGCTGTGGCCTTCCGGAAGTAGATCTCCGGGCCTGTGTCCTGAGGCATGTCTGGTGGACCTTGTACATGCCAATTATCTGAGTCTATGGATCCTCATCCACAGAATTTGAAGGAAAATAGCAAGGCTTATGATATTCAGTGATAATATATGTGAAGTGCTTAAAAAATACTTTAAAAAGCAAACTATTATCTAAAAGTTGGTAATGTCGTTCTTCCTTCCCGCCCCCTACTCCCTATAATAATAAACCTCTTCTTTGATTGTAGCAACATGTTAAGAATAACTGCAAGAAGGGCCCTGGCAGGCCTGGCTAAGTCTCCTAAAGGATCTGGTGAGTATTGTTTTAGACTTAGACTTGTGACCCTGACACTGTAGCTTTGTGAATTCTTAGGCCTTTGGAATGCTTCGTAAAAACCATAATTAGTTTTAAATAAAAATACAAATGACCCAAAGTAAGTGTTATAATTTTAAAAATATAACTTTACATTAAGCAGTTTACAGAAATTATTT